CTCCGATAAGCGATATACTATTTCACAAACAATAATTAATCTTACAATTGAGGGGACACTGCTTTAAATATATTATTTTCTTTATATTGCATTAAGGCAACTAGTTGGATAAGAATCCGTCATTTAATAGGGGTAGTGTGGTGTGGGAAAATGAAAAAGTATCTGATGGGACCTTCTGTCACTAGTCAGTAATCCATCACATTTGTATCAATGAATTTAATGGCGGGAAAAGCCTAACAATGGCTATGGAAATAGGTTATTAATTGACTTTTGGACGGTCTGACTCCCTTTGCATTTTGATGACGTTTTCCCCTTCGCCTGTCTTATGTTTTGGGTGTTGAGTTCAGTTTCTTTAAAAAGTGTCAACTTGGTAAAACCCCAAGGAAACACCTTTTCAGAACAGTGCAACCAGAGGCTAAAACAAACCCAAAACCCCGTATATTCTCATTTCTCCCCTCTTGCAGTCCTCAAATCGTTCCATTCCAAAAATATTTCAATGAATTCCAAACATTACACTACAGTCGGAGGAAAGAGAAGGAAGCATCGCGATCCGGATGTGCCTCAAGCCTTCATCCCGGAATTAGCTTGGTTTAAAGTGATGTTATACGTGGCAACCAACTCATCGGAAGATCTCTTTCGTATGGCATGTGTGTGCCGATTGTTCAATACGTTGGCAAACACTCCACAAGTGTGGAACACAATTTCAATGGAAAAGTACCGAGACCATCCTAACTGGTACTATGCCGCAGCGCAGGTCCGGCATTTCGTGGACCAATGCAGGGCTTGCCAGAACCCTGAGGCGATATTTAGAGAAGCGTTCGACATGTTTTTCAGGCAGGGTAATGTGGAAGCATTGTCTGGGATGCGCGTTGCAGCCACGGCAGGCCATATGGAAGCGTCATATCTAGTTGGACTACTTGGCATGTCCGGAATTGGTCAGTCAAAAGAGGATGCATTGGAATTCTTGTGTTCTTTGAATCAACGTAACAACATTGATATGAAAGGAACCAGGGATGCTTTGAGACGACGATTAAGCGGAATTTTCTCTGTTGGAAGACATATCGTAGATATGTTTCACTATGGGAAGATTAAGTTCAATCAGTGCAGCGCTTGTAACAACAACGACTGGTGTTTTGTTATTCCAGGCTGGCCTAGTGAAGAAAAGATCAATCCTGCCTTCTGGACTTGTTGCAATCGATGCAAATGGCACCGTGAGAGTGTTTTTTGGTTCAAGGTGATGCGTGTCTATGTTGTGCCAGGGAATCCATACCCTTATAATTAGTTGGAGTATGTTTCTACGGTTTTTATGCGTGTCTATGTTCTACACATGTTGTTTTCTATTTCATGTTTTAATCTATTTTGTCTGGTGTTTGTGCTGTCCTAGCCCGTTTTATATAAATGTATAATATTTGCTATATAGTGGAATTATTACTGACATAATTGACGGCTAAGAATGACATTTTACTGACACAGATATTTTGCACAACTGCAATCTTAATATTTGGTAAACGAAAACGCATGCATGAAGTGAGTATGTGTCTTTTCACCGGTTCTTGGGAATGACATTTTCCCACTTAGCATATCCCAAATGATTGGGTTACACGTTTCTTAAGCAAAACTTGAACAGTTAAAGACTTTGAATAATTATTTCCTGATGTTGTAGAATGGATGGCTTGTATATTTCCATTTTATGTTTGAAAACATCCCTTACACCTAAAAAGAAAAAACATTAACAAATTGAAGAAGAGAGAAACTGATTAGCACCAGAAATGGTCTATTCACACGGAAAATAAAAATAAATTACAAATTTGGAGTAAATATAATTAACAAATGTACAAGCTAACAAGTAATATAACAATAATAATAAAATAATTTTGGATAAATAATAATAAATACTAATGTAGCGTAACCATGAAACAGGGAATTGAGGAGGAAGATGAAGTGTGAATGAGGTTGTAGCAATTTTCGGAACATTATTGTGATTTTTGTGTATTTAGTTATGAATTTTCTAAGAAAAAGTCATAAAATAATAATTTAGGGTAAAAGGTAAGGATGTGGCCATGTTGACTGATGCACACTTGTCAAGGGGTGAAAGGTGAGGGGCTGAGATCGCGCCAGGTGTCCATGTGGCAATTATTTTGGCTTTTTTTGTGCAAAAATCTTTGAAAAAATGCAATAAATAGTAGAAAAATCCTAAAAATGCCCCGAAAAATACTCCGGCCTCCGTGTGACGTTATAAAACGAGGGGAACCCATAGATCATCCATTTCGCAATTAAAAATTCAAAAATGATTTACATAACTCACTTTCCTCTTAACCCTAAGTATATATGTTGTTCACTTTAAGTTCAATAACCTACTTCAACAAGCATCTCCCGTTAATGTTCGGAATTGTTTTTTAAAATGCGTAACCACTAATCGGGGAATTCAGCAAGGGAGATGGAGTGTCAATGAGGTCGTAGCAATTTTCGGAACATTATTGTGATTTTTGTGTATTTAGTTATGAATTTTCTAAGAAAAAGTCATAAAATAATAATTTAGGGTAAAAGGTAAGGATGTGGCCATGTTGACTGATGCACACTGTCAAGGGGTGAAAGGTGAGGGGCTGAGATCGCGCCAGGTGTCCATGTGGCAATTATTTTGGCTTTTTTTGTGCAAAAATCTTTGAAAAAATGCAATAAATAGTAGAAAAATCCTAAAAATGCCCCGAAAAATACTCCGGCCTCCGTGTGACGTTATAAACGAGGGGAACCCATAGATCATCCATTTCGCAATTAAAAATTCAAAAATGATTTACATAACTCACTTTCCTCTTAACCCTAAGTATATATGTTGTTCACTTTAACTTCAATAACCTACTTCAACAAGCATCTCCCGTTAATGTTCGGAATTGTTTTTTAAAATGCGTAACCACTAATCGGGGAATTCAGCAAGGGAGATGGAGTGTCAATGAGGTCGTACCAATTTTCGGAACATTATTGTGATTTTGTGTATTTAGTTATGAATTTTCTAAGAAAAAGTCATAAAATAATAATTTAGGGTAAAAGGTAAGGATGTGGCCATGTTGACTGATGCACACTTGTCAAGGGGTGAAAGGTGAGGGGCTGAGATCGCGCCAGGTGTCCATGTGGCAATTATTTTGGCTTTTTTGTGCAAAAATCTTTGAAAAAATGCAATAAATAGTAGAAAAATCCTAAAAATGCCCCGAAAAATACTCCCGGCCTCCGTGTGACGTTATAAAACGAGGGGAACCCATAGATCATCCATTTCGCAATTAAAAATTCAAAAATGATTTACATAACTCACTTTCCTCTTAACCCTAAGTATATATGTTGTTCACTTTAACAAGTATATTTCCTTAATATTCGTTATATAATTTGTACTAATACAAGAATTAGTTTCCTTTCATATATAAGGATGTAAAATTATCTGTTTTGGTTATAATAATGTACATATATAATAAATGCACCACTACTTGGAAGCCATAATTGGAACTGCGCATGCGCCTAGAGCTTTGAAGACGTCAGATATAGTCAATAAGTTGTCCATATGCACCTGCACCTAGAGTTTTCAACACGTCGGCGGTATTCAATAAGTTGTCCTTATGACGCCGCATTGGGAATCAGTAATATATTTTCTATCATGTCCAATCGCATAAACATATAATATAAAGAAATAAAGCAATAGTAGGAGATGAACCAGTACAAAAACAATATATAACTGGTACAAAATAATGCCATAACCTTGTCACAAAACCAGTCACACATGCTTTTCCATAAACCTTACCCTAACATATAATACATAAAGGCAACATTGCATATGATGCAACCATGTCCAAATCTGATACGTGATCACAAAAAAATGGACATGGCAGCAACATATGACTGAAGTAGATGGGCACTTTGCATCGTGTTATCGTAATTAAAGACATGAAAATATGAAGGTTGAAATCTTCTATAGTAGTAAGCATCAAAATAGGTTTGAAGCAGAGCTTAACGAAAATTCCAGTTCCTCTGATTTGCCTCTACTCAAACACGATAACCAAAATGGTCACTTCCCTTGCTGAGTATATTTGTTAACGTCGGAAACGGTAATAGATGACCAATCAAACCCGGGTACGACGAGTTTTGCATAGGACCGGAAGTAGTCGAATCCAGCTTGCATCACACGCTTCTTTGACTCCTTTGCATTAGATGAGTTCTTGTATTTTTGAACAGCTACACTCCGAAGTCGTTTGTGTCTACGCTTCATGCGCTGCAACTTCGCCCTATCCAGATTGGCCTGCCTTTTGTCATCTTCAATTTGGCCTTCAACAAATTCCAAACGTACCCTTGCCCTTTGGATTTCATCACCAAGTTGAAGATGCCTCTCCTTCCAGAAAGCAAGAACTCTTTCAGACTCAAAACTTCCAACAAAATGGTCATTCTGTCTAGGAAAGTGACATTGCTTGTCTGGTGACTCACTTGCGTTTCGAAGGCGGTCTTTGTTTGGAGGGGTGTTTATTACGCTCACATCAAACTTGGTTAGTAAATCCATTAAATGGGGGGAGAGAGTTTCTGTGGAGGAGAGAGTTTCAGTAGATGGAGACACATTCGGTGGAGGAGTGAGTTTTTGTGGAGGGAGAATTTTTATGAAGGGGGTGATAGTAATACCAATAAAAAGGGTTCCCGCCAAAAAAACATTTGGTTGACAATGTATAAATGAAAAAAGGTCTCATACAAGCTAAGTTTAATCCTAACTAGTTTGTTTAGTTTGGTTGGGTTCACTAACTAGATGTCACTTCCATTGAGTTTCTTTCAACCACTAACAGTGGTGTAAGGAGAGTGTGAGGTTGACATGCTTGAAAAGCAAAACCTGACACCTGTTTTTTAAAATTGAAATAAAGTAGATATGTTGACTACACGCAAGCTTTGGTCTGTTGGTCTATAAAGCTATGTTCCATTTCTCAAACGAAATTGCATCTGCAATCCTCATCCTCCAAAACAAATAGGATTATTCAAGTATGTCAACCTCTTCAGGCGCCAACAACACAATCGAAGATGAAAAATTGGAGTCGCAGGTTCCGTTTCCACGTTGTACTCGCCGACCCCTTCCATTTTCAACATCATTTGGGAGTGAGGGGGACTCCGATGATCCATTAGAGGCAATAGATGATGTCAGTACCAAGCTGGATTATAATTCCAGACTGATCAATTCATGGCACGAGAAATGTGTTGAAGACGAGGCCATTTTGGCTGATCTTAACATTAGAGTGAACAAAGCGTTCTCCCAAAAGAACAAGTACTTGAAGCTGAGTCATAAAAGGAAGCTGAAAGCTGAGGAGTTGGATGCAGTAATGAATGATGAAATTAAAGGTTGTTTGATGAACCATATGCGATGCGAAGAGCACCACAGTGAACTGGAGTTGGCATTCAACGAAGGATTCGAAAAAATTCCGAGCATTCGCGGCAACAACTCATACAAGTTATAATTGGGACTATGTGTCCCCTGATGCTGTGAGAGAGATACTAGACGATGGTGGTGACATGAATGAGCATAAGCACGTCAAAGCTGCTCGGAAGAAGCCGACCGATACGGCTAAGTGATTGCGGCTACAGCTGTTCTGTTGGTTGGGGGTGATCGTGGTATTGCACAAATTAGAACTATGTTCCCTTAATGTCATTATCTAATATAAAATAATACAAATATCAGTTTTCATTTGCTTTATATATAATTATTGGGACTATGTCTTGCAAGTCATCATGTGTTCCTTCTGTCTAACATTATATTTTGCAACTATGGAAATATTATTCAATAAGCAGTCAATATCACAGCACCCTGGTAATCAGTAAAGCCCCATTATCATGACACGTGAGTCATAAGTAAAATGCCATGTGCTATACATTGTGTAGTGAATGGTTTATGGTTTATGTATATATAATAAAATTCCAAATATTGCTGAATATTTATTTTGTCTAAATCACTGGGGACATGAGTGACCATAAGCACGCGAGACCTGCTAAGAAGAAGCTGACCAATACGACCTAGTGATTGTGGCTACCGTTGTTCAGTTTATTGGGGAGATCGTGCTATTGCTAAGAGGGAGCACATAAAATGCTTTGCAATCAAATTTTCTTTTGTGTGTGGAATTATGAGTAGTTCAAATGTTAGTGTACCCTTTAATATTACCCAACCATTCGAAATGTGATTAGCTGCAATGTACTTTTTACACGTTGCTTTCTAATATTCTGTTCCAACAAAGTGCTTCAAGTATCCTTCAGCTACGAATGTTTGCAAAATCGTGCACCTAATAACCCAGTCCAGCTCAGATCTTAATCACCAGTAAAACACTAGAACATAACATTCGCAAAAAGTGGGTGCTGCTACAAATGATGCGTGCTGCTGGAAATCATTACTGGTAATGGAAACAATAGCTGGCTGCTGGAAATGCTGCATTAGCCTGTCATATAATCAATAAATCTCTATTCAAACATAATTCACCATAAACTACCCATTTTACAAGGTAAAAGTCATTGCTTGTTCACATAAATCAAAATTTGATGCTTTATCTAATGTCCATGAAAATTTCTAAATAGGGAGAAGACGTAAAATTAACATGTGTCCAAATTTCATGCAAGAATGAAACCAAGCAAATTTTCATTTTAATTATCAATGGACATAGTCAGAGCTCATCGGTGGACATGAACAACAATTAATAATAATAAAACTGCATCTACAAAACTTCACCTGATCATTAGTCTTCATAATAACCGGGCTTCGTATAATAGAAACCTAAATCATTGAGTTGGTCCGTGCATCCTGTAAAATTCGTCAAATAATGGGTCACTAAGATCTATTGGAGTTGATTCGTCATTGTTCGACGGTGATGTCCTGCATAAACATCAAACAGAAGCACATAAGAACTTTACCTATTCAAATTTAGGTCTTATTATAAATAGTGTTAACATCTTACGGTGTGTTCAAATTTCTTGGGCATTGTCTTCTATCATGACCAATGTGTCCACACTCCCGACAGTGTCTAATCCCTCGCTTCATTGCCTTTTCCTTTGCTCCCGTTACTCGTTTCGAACCTCCATTGCACCTTACTCTCTTAGGGTCTTTCATATATTGTGTTTGAGAGCTGGACCCTCCAACTTCGTTATTACTTGGTCCATCCTTCAACAACTTCAACTTCACCTGCAAACTTTTTAGAGTCTCTGACAGTACCTCACATCCTTCTTCACACATTAATGCATCCTCAACCACATCTGAAGCAAGTCGGGACATTGTACTCCGCTTTATTAAAAGACCAGGATCTGCAGAGTCTTTAATTTCGTTGCCATTTGCATCTGACACCAATCCAAATTTCGCAGTTTTCTTCCACCTCTTCAAAATGTATTTATCGGGCATATATTCAATCTGGTCCCTTCTGAACAATGCTAGGATGTGCTTGCAAATAATTCCAACAAATTCAAATCTTTTGCAGCTACACGATGCGTGGTCAGAATCTTTGACATATACGACTTCTGCCACTCTTGTTTCCCAATTTTTCCTTTCGCTCACATTAAAGACAACTTTAGAAGCATCCTCTGTTTTCAGCTCTAGGAAACATGCTGTACTTTGTATTAGTTCTTGCTCAAACTTTTGAAACATTGTCCTTGTGTACAAGGTAGCCATTTGTTTGTTCATTGGCATCGGTAGAATACATTGAGCCACTTCAAATGCATCTACGTGATCAGCAACTAACTCTTTTTGACGTTGATGAGAAAGTGCCCTCTCAAATCTTATTATGAAATCCATCAACGAATTTTTCCTTGATATGTATTGCTTGAAGAAACCATGAGAACATTCAACTCTTTGGCTGCTTGACATTCCAGCGGCAAAAAAGTGTCGTGCGTAGGCTGGAACCCAAGATTCCCTTAAATCAAACATTGAACTTAGCCATGGATGGTCAGTCAAACCAGCCTTTGTAACCACAATATTCCATTTTGCATCAAACTCATCCTTATTGTCAGTATCCCATATGGCTTTCTGGAATTCACCCCAATACTCCTTATAAGCAGAATGTGGTAACTTAACAGAGAACTTTGATGTGATGTGCCATATGCAAAGTCGATGAAATGTAGTCGGGAAGGCTATTGAAATCGCTCTGCTCATTGCCGCATCTTGATCTGTGATGATCGTTTTAGGTTCGCCACCTGGCATGGCTTTCTTAAACTCCTCAAACATCCAAATAAACGACTCAGTCGTTTCCTTGCTCAAAAATGCGCATGCTAGGACAATTGTTTGACCATGGTTATTAACTCCCAACATTGGTGCAAATGTCAAGTCGTATCTATTCGTGTTGAATGTGGTATCGAATACAACAACATCTCCATAAAACCCGTACGCCCGTCTAGAAGTTGCATCTGCCCAAAAACATCGACTAAACCTGTTATCGCCATCTCCCTCAATCTTGAAATAAAAAGCCTCATTTTTTTTCTGTTCAGCCATAAAATACTCGGTCACTAGTTCAACATCGTGGTTCCTCAGCTTCTCATTCACACTACATTCAAGATTGTACATATCCTTTTTGATAAAACCAATTTTATCCATTCCTCCGGATTGCACCTCGAAAATACTTACCTTCTGATTAATGGGAATATTAACCGAACCCAACTGTTTTGTAAGTACTTTTGTAGAATCTGAAATACGACGGTGTGATCTCAGTAAATGCATTCTTCCTGAGGGTGTCATCTTATGATTGTGTCCCTCTGCAAAAAGAGAGATGGTATACTTCTTGCTCCCATGTGTCTTCACAACCACAATCTTAGCTTTGCAATTGCATCTACTTATTCCCCGCTGTCTTTTTCTCTCCCGAGTTTCATCATTCCGGTATGCACCTTGTTTGCAACATACAAATTCTTTTCTCAGAATCTCTTTCTTATTTTTCCCCCAAAAGCTGGAATGAAGTCGAATACCAAAGCCAGCCAAGAATGCATATCTATTATAGAAATTATAAACGAGGTCAAGCGAGTCGAACTTCATCCCAACTGCTGGTGTTTCCTCATTTCTTACTTCAGGAATGTAAACCCTCCCATTAGCTATTACAGAGTCATCACTCTCTGAGCCCCCAGACATTTTATCCACGTATATTATTGATCTACTTCTATATTACTGCATAGCAAATGTTAATTCATTAATCAATCATTACTGCATCACAACTTATCAATGCATTCCACTTACACAAAACATTGCCCAAATTGACACAATACACGCATAGCTTAGCTTGTTGGATTCTGATTACAGAAAACACAAGCAAAATTTAATAATAGTTACGTCATCTCTTGTGAAATAATCTGGAAAAAATTACCTTAGAACCAACATGTTCAACTAAGAACTCAAATGTAATTCAAACCAGCAATTACAGAACTTCACCCAATATCCTCTCCAAATGCTTACTTCTAATGCCATTAAGCCTAAGTTTAGGATCTTTTACCTACATTTCATAATTTTCCAATCCCCCTCCAAACAAAAATAATCAACTAAGTATATTGAATATTCATAAGGAAATGACGCCTTATTGATAGCAGAGCAAATGACGCATTATTGATGCCGCAAATGACAAATTTCTCACCCTCATAAAAAACAAATCAAACCCAGCAAAATCAATCCAGCAAGAGTGAACTTACCTCTCAAAGTCAAATGACGCATTATTGATAGCAGAGCAAATGACGCATTATTGATGCCACAAATGACAAATTTCTCACCCTCACAAAAAACAAATCAAACCCAACAAAATCAATCCAGCAACAGTGAACTTACCTCTCAAAGTCAATCGGGAGTTCCGAACTCAGTCAGCTTCAAAGAATGTGGTGGACATTAGAGAGGATTCTTTCGTAGTGGAGACTCCATCTCTACCAAAATCCAGGAACAACTGCAGCAGCACGAAAAAGAGATATGCTACTTTGCTTTCATCTGGAATCTCTTCTGCTGAACGAAAAAGAGAAGGGGTTTTCACTTCAATAATAGAATCAAAACAGGGCAATAGCTAGGTAAAAGCCATTAATCATCATACCGAGGATACCATAGATCGCAGGCCTCCCAAGGAGCTGATGACAATGGAGCGATTATAGAGTTTGGGAGCTTTGGATCGTTCTAATTGTGGATTTGCATTACATTAAAAAAGAGAGGATTGTGTTCTTGAGTTTTTCACAGAGAGGGAAAAATCTTCAGCTGAAGTTGGGTTTCCAAACGGGTCAGATTTCAACCCGGTTCTACATGCACCCTCTTTTAAAAACTCACCGTTGGATGAAATCCAACGGCTCTTACATACCCCTCAAAAAAACCCCTTATAACTTTCCACTCACTATAGAAGCACTCCCTTATTTTTGTCATCTGGGCTACAAACACTGTCTACACATTGCTTGCTTCTGTTCTTTGGTTGGAAATTTACATTTACACATTGCTTGCTCTCTCTTCTTTTATGTATTCTCACCATCTATTGACCTATTTATATGCACATTTTTACTATCCAACCATAGTTACAATTAACATAATCAAATTTGCTAAATCATCACCTTAACAATCCATATACGTTTTAAATAGCGGAGAGTTTGTAACTTATAAGTCCCTAACGACTTTCTAAATGACATACAAACTTTTAATATATTTCTTTTAACAACCAATGATATTCAATATACCTTCCTTACACAATCAAGGACTATTTACATTCAAATTTGTTCATGTGAAAAGTTAAAGCACAACTTACAACCCGTAACGTCATAGATACGAAACATGAATTGTCATGAAACCATATTTTGGCAATTTCAATTCAAATTTTGGGCCTAGCATGTTGTTTATTTATGAAAAAAGGGTCAAACTGAAGTCAGCCCAAGCCGAAACCAAACCAACTTATCAATGAAACAATTTAGTTGGTTATTTACACCTTTGATTCGGTTTTTATTTGGGTTTTGTACAAATCGACTATTGTGGTTTGTTGTTCGATTCGGACTCAAAACTAAATCAACCCAAATCAAGCCAAGACTTTTGAATTTCCATGGTAACATATTCCAAGTATTTCGATGACATATGTCTGTCAGGTTCATTTTATTTCAATCAATATAGAATTTGTAAATGAGTGAAACAACAAAAAGACTCTCAAAATTAAGAATGCAATTGACATTTGGGATAAACTTATCAAATAGTAAATAGGAAAAAAGCAAATCCAGGTGTATTTAAAAACAGAGGTATTTTAGAATACCTCATAATTTGGAATTTAAGATAATCAACCACCAATATCACCACCACCATAAACCACCACCGCCTTAATCGACCCCTTGACCGTGTGTGGGATCGTACAAGTACTTAACCACAAGAGTAAAGGCAAAGGCAGTGCTTCTTCTCAACACACAAATCCACTTATAGCATATAAAGCCACCCCCTCCTGTTTAATATTATATGTTCTCAAAAGGCCCAACAACTAGGTCCACGTCGACGAACTCCTATTCTCACTCCTCGCATTTCATGTTAGTAAATATGCCATAAAATTAAGTGATCGCATAAAATATAGATAGATAATTTTTATTTTTATTTTTTTATAATGGAGATTTAGAGGGAAATCGAACATATCAGTTTGAATGCAGGAGTAAATACTTTTAATCGCTTAAACTACGAGAATCTTGATTGAATAAATAGAGAATTTTACATGTGGAACTACAACAGTTGTTGCCGACAGAATCTTGGTTTTATTCTCTCTTGTTTGAGTGTTAAAAAGGTGATCACAAGTGAACTGGTGGTCGGTCGACCACGGTTTTGACTATGAGAATGGTTGCACCTAGACCTAGTGATGATAAGACCCTTTTGAAGTAAAGTAAAAAGATGCGACAGGCAAAGCCCCTCCAAGGTGTTGGTGGGTTTAGGTGGAAACAACTCAACAAGGGCCCATGGTAGTTGAGCAGTGCTTATGAATTCGATTCCCATATGCCTTATTTCGCACCGGCAGCGAAGACAAGATCAGGTCACAATTTTGGGAAAGGGATGTGACAATCGAATTTAACTTTTCAACCTTAAAGCGTGTTTCACTTAGTAGTAGCCTACACAATGAAAGGGCCCAACTCATCCCATTTCATTTTTCAGATGAGGAGAAATGCAAACCAATCTTGGACAAAAACCAATAAAGCCAAAAACAAAAACATATATAAACTCATATTAGATTGAAATACAATAAGGGATCCGTTTAGAATTGCTTACGTAGGAAGCACCTGAAGAAGTAATTGACGTGAAGCTCTTTTGTGACCCAAAAGTACTTATGAGTTTTGTTGCCAAATATTGTTATAAAGCACTTTTAGCCGTTTCAAAAGCAGTTCCAAACATACAATTTGCTTTTGATAAAAAAAAGAAAAAGAAAAAGATGATGTGTACAAGGAGTCATAAAAGAACAAAGGAATAAAATTTCAAAACTTTCAGCCTCTATTGATGCTAAATCCATCAAGATTAGACTGGTGGGCATTAAGCATTATGATAAATGCATTACCATATAAAAAATTTGAAACTTTATCTGGAGTAGGTTAAAAGGTGCCGATATGCTTATACTTTAAAAAAGTTGTACCATCGTTATCTTCTTGTTTCATATTGTTGGTGACATCAAGGTGGCGGGGATAGATTGATACATAAACTCCATCCATATAACAAGAAGGGCTTTCCCAAAATCCAATGCCAAAAGCGGCATTGTCCCACGAGAGCAACGCGTCTTTTCTTTCTTTGTTCATATGCTTTGTTCATGTTTAGCCACGTACCCATGATTTTAAATTGGAATGAGCTAAACGTTTAGTCGAGCTGCTAGTGAAGTGGGATGAGACACCTACACATACTTTTTATTTTTATTTTGCTCTCTAATCACCCTAGCCGTATCTTGGGAGAAAATTTTGTATAAAACGGGATATCACTATTTTTTTAATCTCCAATTAATCATATCTAATCATGTGTGATAACTTTTTAATATTGCAAAGTATGATTAGTTAGAGATACCAAAAAGTTTTATCCCGTGACATACAAGTTCATATGTGGCAGATAAATTTTAGTTAACTCTATTTAATTTTTTAATCATTTGTTCCATATATTATCCTTAAAAAATATCCAAGCTTCACGCTCGGTTTGCCGACAACCAGAGATGGAGGAAGTACATGCCAGGATGCAGGCACATGCCTCCTCTCACATTTTGTTATATCCCAAAAAAGAAGTTCACCTTTTTGAGGTGCATCCTCTTTTTTATTTCTAAAACCCACTCGTAAGCTAAATATAGCCCGTTCCATTTGAAAATTCTCAGGGCATCACTGACCCTACATTCTCGTATGACTGCCGTCAATGACACACTAATGCTGCTGCGCAGGACCGCGGCAGGGGCTGTCGTAAATTCCATGAATAATAACCACGGGTGAAGCAAAGAGAATTAAACTCCAGCACACATACGGAAGAAAAAACAAAAAGGTGAAAAAGATTAAAATGTAGTGACTGAAAGTTGAAGACGCAGTTTGAATCACCCTTTTTGGAAAAATATTCATCATTGGTAATTCTCCTTTTTAAACTTGAAGGTAAAAATCTGGTTAAAAAGAGACTGACGGTATACACCGATTTTTCTGGTTTGACTGGACAATTGTCGAAACGCTTGCATCAGCAAACAAAATGTTTATGGTCATCCTTCTCCTTTCCACAAAACGCACAAAGAAATATCAGCAACTCGAGTGGTGGGCAACACTGTCAGTCTGCAGTCTCACATATTCCAAGTCCCAACAGGCAAACTCGCCCGAGTTGAACCCAGCCAACTCAGTTACGCTAAAAGTAGCTGAGTCATACGCCTTCGAGTCTCTCCCATTCCATTCATCCAACTGTCCAATATAAGTATTATTTATAGCCTCCCATTCCATACGTTTCAACATTCATGACACATTAATAGTGTTTTTGAGAAAATGTCCGAATAAGGTCTTGTTTAGTAGAAAATGATATTTACATGTGGGATCATATTCGAATCTTCATTATACATTCACAATGTGTGAGAAAATTCCTCTCCCCTCCTTAACTTTAGCAAAAGCAAAATGATATTAAAAGGAAGGAAATCGAATTTAAGATTTCGGATAAAGCAATAAATAGCCTTCCATATTCTTGGAGGAGAGAAAAAGAGTGACCCCAGTGACTAACTGACCATGCTCATACCCATTACGGGAGGCCCATGGCCATAATTAATTAATGCAAATTAACGCACATCTAAAAAAATCCTAAAGCTCCGAGTTCTCACCGCGTACCTTTCAGTGTGTATATATCAACAACTCATATCTCAGTCTTCCCTTCACTTCAACGCCATCAATATTTCTTTCTTCCACAGCGTCCATATTTATTTCCCCGCTCTCAGATTCAGATCAACAATCTCAAAGACTCCCAAAAAAAGAAAAAGAAAAAAGAGAGAGAGAGAGAGAGAGCTCTTCATTTACTGTTTGATAAAATGAAAGAGGGGTTGCTTGAGAATTCTAGGTTCGTATTTGATCAAGAGACCCTCCTCACCGTTTCTAAAACCTGCCTCTTCTTCCCCGGCGATGGCTTCACTGTCTACGACTGCAAGGGCCAACTCGTCTTCCGGGTCGACTCGTACGGCCCCGACCCGCGCGACAGAAGCGAAGTCGTCCTCATGGACGCCCACGGCCGCTGCCTCCTCACTGTACGCCGCAAGGTAAACAGAAAAAAGAAGAAAAAAAAGAAGAAAAAAAAGAGTATTTCACTGAGACGACTCACCGAGTCAACCCAGCGAGTTTATAGATTTCGTTTCTGCGCCTTGCGCACGTGCACTGGAAATCGTTTTGCTTTCCATATCCAGTAATGGGTTTTAAATAATTTCCATTTTCGGCTGCTTATTTGAATGTCCCGTCCGTTGAAACGATTTGCGAACACTCGGTGAGTTAACCCGGAATCTAATGCGTGCTTTATGTTGATTAACAGAGGCCGAGTCTGCATCAACGGTGGGAAGGGTTTGAGGGGGAGAGAACGGACGGCCAGAAGCCCATCTTCAGCGTGCGAAGGTCGTCCATAATCGGACGGTCCAGCATGACCGTGGAGGTGTACGGAGACCCAGGCGAGGAGTACCAGATCGAGGGCTCATTTGCGCAGAGATGCTGCACGATCTTCAATGCGGAGAAGGAGTCAGTGGCTGAGATTCGACGCAAAGTGGATGCTTCCACCCACGTGGTGCTTGGGAAGGACGTTTTCTCTCTCTGCATCAAGTCCGGGTTTGATGGGGCCTTTGCTATGGGATTGGTGCTCGTCCTTGATCAGATCAACGGTGATGATTATGGGGATGATGGTATTGAGATGGACCCTACCGCAGAGGGTTAGAAAGGGGGAGCGAGTGTAAAGTGTGGCTGGCTCGGTTTGATTTGGAGCGTGTTGGGGGTTTTGGGACTGGTTTGACAGCTGCACATTGGGAGAGTGTTTGGCGGACTGGGGACCTCTTGGATTGGGTGTAGATCTTTCTTGTATTTTCTTGTACTTTGGTAATTTAAAAAAAAAAAGAGATTATGTATAAATTTATGTCATCTCACTTGGTTTTTTTCCTTAGAAGAGAAACAGAACTTTCTCAAAAAATCATGGTTATGAATGTGGACTTGAAGATTTTGATGGGTTGACTCAACTAATTTGAAATAAGAGAATGTGAATAATTAAAAACCAATAACAATAGAGTCAACATGCATCATAAGGTCTCGGTAAAACTTTCTTGGATAAAATTATACAGGATAAAAAAGAGGGATTTCGAGTAGCTGCATTTAGTATCGGGCAGTAAAGAAATTAGCCAATAAACCCAACTTATTCAGTTGTCCTAAAAATTCAACACATCTTCTAATTTAATTGGGCAGTAAAGAAATAATGAATTACCTATCAATCTAATTCAATTTTTCTCTCAGTTTTCAAAGGAAAATTTGATATTGACTCATTTTTTGGTCTGCCAATTCATATTTGAGTTTTGTATTGGTGAAAAGTCTGTAATTTCAAGTCATATACGAGCATCTATAGTTTAACAAGGGAGGAGGCGTTGGCTGCTCTCCATGCTTTGGCGTTAGCAAAACTAATGAAATTTGATCGTGTGTCTTTTGAAACTGACTCTAAGGTTTTGTGTGATGGGATCAAAGAGGCTGTTGGCAATAGAATCTGGACAATTAGGAGCTGTGTTCTAGGCTTGCGTTGAGTTCTCGCTGTTTCTTGATCCAACTCTGCTTGTATTCCTTTGCTTTTGTTTCTGTATTGCCCCTTCCCGTTTGGGTTGTTCAATGACACCATTTCGACCAAAAAATAAAAGTTCAACAAGGGAGAGAGGGAAAGAAGCGGATCTGGTGTTAGGCTAAAGAATTAGGTGCAAAAGGTGATGTTTAGTTTACTAGAATTATGCTAAAAATTCATTAGATTAATTCAATGGTTAATTTTTATTTATTTATAAATGTATGTAAATACGTTAATGCTAAATGTAGAAGTTTGGAATTTAAAAAAGATTACCACATATGACATCAAATCAATGCGTAAAAGCAAGACTAGAACAACCAGCAAAAATACAATCCAAGACTAGAAAATTCGTAAACTTTGAATCGGCTGAATGCCACCCAATAAGTTTTGTTTTGTTTCGACTTTTCTAACAAATTTTCTAAATTTTCCTGTTTTAGTTTTGTTTGCAGATAGATAACTTGTAACCTGGGTTGTATGACTTACAACTCTAAGATGAAACTGGCCACCCAATGAGTTGAATATACTTCCAAAAGTCAATACCATATATCATTGAATTTGAACCACAAAATTGATAGGATTTTATGACGGTTCAATTATGAAGGCTGATTTGAAAATGGCAATGGAGGGCAAATAATGGACGATAAAAGCAAGAAAAGTTTGAAGGACTCGGGCACAATGAATAATTTTTTAAATGCTTAAGTACTATAATGCCCTCTAAAATATTGGTCAATTCCTACTTAACCCCCTCAAAGTTTATGCGACCCACTTTGTCCTCTTGATCAAGGTTTCATGTGTCGCTTAACCACTTTCCATCAACGCTATCCCAAGTTCCATTAAAATGATGACGTGGTAGGGGCATATTGGTCAATTCAACTGAGATGGGATTTTTCCCACCAATCTGAGGTTGTGACGTGTACTTGGGGACTCCACCTCTAACAACTAAGAAGATAAAACAATCGTTGGGCCTGTTGATGTGGATTTGTGGACCCCATCTCTAACAAAACAACCACTATTGAAAAGGAATCTTTGAAAACTCAAAATGGGAAAAAAGAAATCAGCTTGGGAGGGAAAATTGAGATTTGGGGATTTTAGATATAGGGTTTGAACACACGATCGAGAAAAGGAGAGTGTTGTGAGTTGGTTTCGAAATCTTGAAGGCAAGAAGAAAAGATGCAACTCAACGATGATGCCCGTTTGGTGAGAAGCAGGAGAAGCGTAACCTATGTAGGGTAAGTGATTCTTCTGAAAAGGGACCTGTTTTTTGAAAAGGAATCTTGTCATGCTATGTGAAAAGAATGTTGTTCTGATAATGATGCGCGTTGTGTAGAAATGTATAGTCTTTAGGTCTTTTTGTGTTATATGATGTCAGGAGAGTGGGTTTAAATGCAGTATACCTTTCTTGATGTGGTCTAGTTTTTGTTTTCTTGTAGTTGGCTTTGAATACATTAATCGAACCATGTTTGTTGTCTTGCTTTTAATGATTGGCTTAGAATACTGGTTTGCAGTTCTTAAAGACAAACCTTTTTTGTTTGTGTGTAGAGGACAAAGAGTTGGTGACTTTTGAAGTGCATTATGGTGGTAGAATTGTGAAAAACAAACACAACAAGTGGTGTTATATTGAAGGTCTATAGGATATTTGGATTGGTGTCTTATAGAGTATATAAATATGTTAGAGATATGGGAGCAAGTGAAACTGCTTGGGCACATGGGGAAAATATCATTTAAAAGAGTAGCAAATGATGAGTTAGTGGATATAGACACGGATGGTGAGCTGTTAAGTTTGGGTGATAAGGTACCACTTTCTTATCAGAGAGTGGTGCTAATTTATGCACAACACACTGAAGGGGAAGGTGTTACAGTGAATGAGGATTGTGAAGAGGTAGGTGTGGCTTTGAATGAGGATAGTGAAGAGGAAGTTATGGCTTTGAATGAGGATAGTGAAGAGGAAGGTGTGGCTTTGAATGAGGATATTGGGCATGCTACTAAGGATATTGGGTCACTAAACAATGATGAAAATGGGGCTTTTACTGAAGGCAGTGGGCCACTGAACAATGATAAAGAGGGGAGGCCTTTTATTGAGGATCATGGATCTGGTTGCACAGTTCAAGATTGGGATTCAAGTGATGATGATGGGCTCTTGAACAATGAGGGTAATGGAGTTGATATATGTGATACTAATGTGGAAAACAGGAATGAAGACACTGAAGAAGAAGACAAGGAAGATGACCCTTGTTGACATTGCTCATGAGCAAAATGAAAATGAATGTAAGTTGTTGGAAAATGATGATAAAGCATTTGAAAATTATGTATACGATCATGAATTCGTTGAAGACTAGGAAGATGACCCTGATCTATCTTCCCATTGGATTACGTTTCTCCCTCTTCGATCTGACCTCTTCTAGAGGTTGTAGCAGCTAATCCAAAACTCGATCTCTCGCGTTCCCATCGGAAGGTGTATAGAGCTCTTACTATGGTGCTTGCATGTAACATCCCATATTGACCAATGGAGAGGGGATGATGTGCCTTATATGTACATACCCACCTCTATCTAGCACAAAGCCTTTTGGGAGCTCACTGGCTTCGGATTCCATGGGCGAGTTTGAGATAGAGCAATCCCAGGATGAGTGACTCACTGTGAAGTTGCTCGTGAGTTCCCATAAATAAAACCGTGAGGACGGGGGCTCAAAGCGGACAATATCGTGCTACGGCAAAACCGATTCGGGATGTGATAGAATGGTATCAGAGCCCCTTTGCCGTGTGGTGCGAGTGTGCCGACAAGGATGTTGGGCCCTTAAGTGGGTGGATTGTAACATCCCACATTGACCAATAGAGAGAGGGTGATGTGCCTTATATGTACATACCCACCTCCATCTAGCACGAGGTCTTTTGGGAGCTCACTGGCTTTAGATTTCATAGGAACTCTGAAGTTAAGCGAGTTTGGACTAGAGCAATCCCAAGATGGGTGACCCACTGGGAAGTTGCTTGTGAGTTTCAAGAAACAAAACTGTGAGGGTGGGGGCCCAAAGCGGGCAATATCGTGCTACGGTGGAGTCGATCCTGGATGTGACATTGCACCACCTTCTTCCACTTTCTTGATTCTTTGGACTTCTGGTTTTAATTTCCCTTGGTCTTGCTTTGATTGGTTGCTGCATTCTTTGTGGGGCATAGGTGGGTTCAACCTTGGTGGAATTGGTGATTCTACAGCGGTGGTGCGCTCCATGTCCTCTTGTTGATTGCGGCGGCTTTTGTGTGCTTAGACTAAGGTTTGCCAGAATTCTAGTTTTGGGTGTGAATTGGTATACTTATTTTTGGGCTATGATTGTATTTGGGGTGGGTCACTGGACTACGTGTATTGTCTTATTTTGGGTTTTTTGGTTATTGTGATGGGTTTGCGAACTTTGTTCTAGACTTGATTTAAGTTAAGATGTTCTTTTTCTGTCGTCTTATGGTTCTATTGTGCCATTGGTTTGTGCTTTGTACACTTGCCTATTTAACGTTTTAAGGAAATGAAATTTTAAGATAAAAAAAAAAAAAAAAAAAAAAAAAAAAAAAAAAAAAACCAAAAACATATATAACGTATTAAGAAAAATGTAATTGCAGCATGCTTTTCAAAAGATATGCATGATCCAAATGGGTTGGTCCAAAATCGCAAAATCTCTTAACCCTAGCTGTTTCTCTCTCTGTTTTATACGGAAAATATTCATGTGCAAAACAAATTATGTGCCTTAATTATTATTGTAAAGCAACATGCATAAATAAATCAATATGGTCTCAACTTTACTCTTTACAATTTCCATTAAGACCATGTGAACATTTGCAGACAATAATTGTTAAAGCTTTGCAAAGGGGTTTTCTTTAGTTTTAGAACCCAATAAAAGTGTGACGTGACCTTTCTTTAAAGGTTGATTGCATGCAAACCGGAATCTCATCCGTCTGAGGAGCATTTTGAGCCAACGTAAAAGAATTTAAAAGTGGAAAAGGAGTAAAATGCAAATTATTATTGGTTGCGTTCATGGCATACTGTGTTTCATTACAAGGCAATGGTGGCTTGATACATTGCAGAATTTGGAAAGCTAGTAGTGCGAGAAAGCTAACAATCAAACCTTCAATTCTAATTAGTTGGCGTGAGGTTTTATCATAAAAAACATCGATAAAATTAATAATGAAGCCGGTCATATTATTATATATTGTATTTTTATGTTGTCAATTTCTAATGTAAGACTTAAATTCGTCAACACAAGATCAAATTTTGGGTATAAGTAATTCCTTTAGTAATAATTCACTCAAAAAATCTTATGTTTTATTAAAGAGAGCAATCACATTTACATTATCCACGAAAATTATCAAAATGAATTTATTCCCAATATATTGTAATTAATAAGAATCCTCTCTGTAATCTCATACGAACTAAAATAACAAATGCATCGCAAGGACAAAGAGAATCCAGCTTCAACTGTGAGTGAGGAAGAACAGGGCATCAACGGTGACTCGTGTTTGGTGTTCACGGTAGGTACTTGTCAACGGGCGATGATGTTGATGCTGGAGCGCAAGCAACAAGGTCGTCTAAGACGCGTGAAGGAGTGATAGTAAGGACGGAACTAGACATTTATTAAGACATGTCGACTTTAAACAATGAAATAAGATGACAAATAATTCCAAACAGAATAGTAAAATAGAAAAGTCTAGATAATAATTGGTGGTATTAAGAAAAAAAACCTTCATTAATCATCTTAACGATAAAATCTAAATAAAAACCAAATTTTGATGGAGGCCATACATTGCCGTTAATCCCGTATTTCATGCTCGTATCAAGCACATTAAACGTGACTATGATTCTACATGCTGGTCGATCTTGGTTTATTTTGACTAGGCCAGGAGGATCTTCTGCACCTGCTCGTGTTCCCTTGTAATTTAGCAAGAGCATGATTGTGGGTATGTCTGTTTCGCACCTGTGGTGAAGACAAATATCACACATAACCTTGTGATGGATGTGACAAATCGTGCTTGAACTTTCCACCGCAGCATGTATGCTTAACCTATCAACTAAGCATATATGTCTGATTTGCTAAGCATTGACTAATTAAATTAATCCCAGACAAATCTCAATTCCTCCCATTTCATTTTCCTGAAAAAAATAAAATTGTAGCTTCTTTCTTCATCTCTCATTTCTTTTTGTAGTTGTGGTTGGTTTGCTAAAACAGCATTTGATCCAGATATGCTTGCGCGGGGTGGCAATTGTCCCCATCGGGCAACCAAAAATTAAGAAATGGATTAGGTATACATGTGGGGATAGATGTTGCTTGCTTGGTATGGATTGGTTTGAGTTGATTGGATGTCATGGTATATATCAAACGAAATTAACCTATTTCGATATATGCATCATGTCAATACAAGTTGATGGGATTCTATTCACATCCAATTGCGTCTCCAGACAGTCTATACTCTGAGAGAGAGAGAGAGAGAGAGAGAGAAAGAGAGAGAGACGGAGAGTTAACCTATTAATTACTTGGATATGAACCAATCGAAAAAAAAAGTGATTTGGATTTGAAAATGAGTGAAAACTGTAGTACTGTTACAATAATTGGATGATTGTAACTTTCGGTTTTAAATCGAAATCCAGACCAAACTCAACCAGTTTTTGTCCACGATCAGAAAAACGTCCATATCAGAAATATGAAACTTTTAGAGGCTGTAAATTTGTCCCAATTGAGATACATATGTATATATATATATATATATATATATATTTGTTTCAATCAGATTGACATAAGAAAAAAAAACCTAGCCCAGAAAATAGCATCGATTAGTGCAACCAGAATTTTGTCAATTGATAGTCGACCACGGTTTTGACCATGAGGGTTCTTGAGCCAACTCATATTTTTCCTTGCAATGTTCCTTTGAAGTACAGTGATGAAGATGTATTAACAACCGAGAAGTTGGTTCAGGTGGAAACAAAGGCTCATGGGCCATGGCAGTGATAGTTGTGCCTACTGGGATTTTTTTTTTTTTTTTTTTTTTTTTTTTTTTGGAGCCAACCTATGGGTTTAGAGTAGGAATTTTGCTTTCATATTAGTCCTAGACCTACCTCCTGACATCTTTTGCAAAAGTTAAAGTAAAACAAGAAAAATGAAACCAAGGAGAATGCGGAAAGGGAAATGACTTGGAAAACAAACAAAGCAAAGATCAATATCAGCTCATATTAGATTGAAGCACAATAATACAAAGTCACATACGCTTGTGTATATGTCGACAATAAACTGATATCATATATATGCATAACTAGTGGACAGAATCATACAAAAGCAACAAGTTGAAAGCCTTAAAGCTGTATTGAAATTGAATGGTGGGCATAGGTCTCGGTTGAGGGTTAAAAGCTACGTTGATTGGGTGATCTATACATCGATATCGTTCTCCCTGGAGCAAGATTAGGCTATCAAATACTTGTTTAGCAGAAAAAAAACACAAAATTATGCGTTATAATGTCCAGAACGGATTTTCACAAGCTGGCAAGAAACCAGCACATGCTCCATACACAAACTACAGAGGTTATGGGCCTCACTGTTTGGAAACGAATCGATCATTTGGTGGAAGCAAGAGCTACAAGACATGTTTGGTAGTACAAATATTCAACCCACAATAAGCTAATCAATATTCAAGATTGGCAACGCTTTCAATGGAATATAACGGCAGTTCTTCAGTCTCTAATATGCGCTCCTGTTTGATAAATTGGTCTTTTTTATAAATTTTGATTCTGGACTAATCAACTGCTACTGCAGCTCACAATAAAGGGTTTAACAAAGTCAATTATCCTTATGCCTCATGATGAATATAGGTCCGAACATGGAAAATCATTCCCAAGCTTCATTTTTCTCAAATCTAATGGCTGGGCTTTTTTTGGGCAAAAAAAATGTGAAAAAAATTCACCCAAAAATTTTGAACTTTTTTTTCTATAAATACCTACCATTCTTCTTCACTTTCAACACAAAATCCTCATATAATTTCTTCTCCTTCTATTATTTTTCATTTTCTACACAAAATTTTCAACACATTCCATACATCAAACAAAATATAATTAAAATAAAAAACCACAACCAAAGCATAACTAAAAATAAAACATAAACAAAGCATAAATAAAAATATTCTCCAAGTTAATTGTTTAGGTTATAAAAAAAGAAGAAAAAAGAAGTGAATAGTATGTGCCCCTTGCCATGGCAATGGATGGCAATGGGTGGAAACACACATTGCTTTTTGTAAGGGCAGCCACTATTCACATGAATAGTGTCTGTCCTAGTCCTTCCCTTGCCCTTTGCCATGGCAAATGGGTGGAATCGCTCTAAAGACATGAATAACAAGATAAAATATCCAAGCATAGGATCTTTGTTTTGGTACCATGTCAGATAATCAAATCAGCCCTAAAATTCAGATATTTCATTCTTCTTGTTGTGGATATACAGGGTTACAATTAGTGGCCTACAAGAAAAGATTAATACCTACCTAATTATACCCAAATTTGTCAAATAGAGAAAAAAAAAGCAACAAATTGTATAATTACAACTCATGGCAACGACTGATACAAGGAAACATTAAAATAAAAGGATTAGGCTTAGCCTATGGCCTGTATAGTTGCGTCGACATTACTTATCATTGATACTTATTTTTTTCTTTTCCGGATAAACTATGATTAATGAAATCTGAATTCAAGACTTCTTCTTTCTTACACAGTGAAGATTAAATATCACTAAACACCAAGTGCTCCTGTCATCATTAGGGAGCTGTTGACTCATTTATGCTAAATTAACCGAGTCATGCATATTCGAGTCTTACGCTCGCCCATCTGTCCACAACAAAGATACAGTGAGAGAGAGAGACTCCTATCTGTCCATAGCAAAGATACAGTGTGAGAGAGAGAGACAGAGAGAGACGCCTATCTGTCCATAACAAAGGCAGAGAGAGAGAGAGAGAGAGAGAGTGTGTGACCATGCATTATGACCCTATAACCGTAGCCTATTGGCCATATTTATAAGCCGTAAGTATTGATGTCATTGAGGCACATCGCAAAACCAATCCAATGCTCCAAAGCCCTCGCCTTGTCCCTCTCAATTTTTATATATACACACATACACAACCCCTTTTTCACTTCAAAATAAGTTTTTCTTCATAACGTCATATATTTAAAAAAAAACCAGAGCTTCATTTCTCCTCTTCTGAATACCATTCACTTCTCTCTGAGCTGACCACCCAAAAAGAGCATCAACACTGCCAAAGCCAAAGCTTCAAGAGCTTCAACGACAACAACATCGACGACACGAAAATGAAAGACAGGACACTTGTGGAATCTGAGTTCGTGTATGAACAAGAGACCCATCTCACCGTTTCCAAAACCTCCGTCTTCTTCTCCGGCGACGGCTTCATTGTCTATGGCTGCAAAGGCGAGGTCGTCCTCCGGGTCGACACGTACGCTCAGGACGCGCGTGACAGCTGCGAACTCGTTCTCATGGACCCCAACGGCCGCTGCCTCCTCACTGTTCGCCGCAAGGTATGAGAAAATATTATGGACGAGTTGACTCACTGAGTGAACTCAGTGAATTATAGATTCATTACGTGCCAATCAAATAATGGTTTTTTGCTTTATTTCCTCTTTAACGTAATAATTTTCAGTGACTCGTCCACGAACACGGTTTCCTAACTCAGTGACCTAAACCTGTTTCATTTACAGCGACCGAGTCTGCATCAACGGTGGGAAGGGTTTGTGGGGGAGCGAACAGAAGGCCAGAAGCACATCTTCAGCGTGCGGAGATCTTCCATGATCGGAAGGTCCACAGTGACCGTGGAGGTTTTGGGAGACCCAGGCGAGGAGTACCAGATCGAGGGCTCATTCTTGCAGCGGTCCTGCACGATCTTCGACGCGGAGAAGAAATTAGTGGCTGAGATTAAACGCAAAGTTGACGCCTCCACGCACACGATGCTCGGGAAGGACGTCTTCGCTCTCTGCGTCAAGCCCGGCTTCGACGCGGCGTTTGCCATGGGATTGGTGCTCGTTCTCGATCAGATCAACGCTGACGATCAGATCAACGTTGATGATTATGGTGATGATGGGGTTGTGGTGGACCCCACCTCAGAGGTTTAGAAAAGGAAATGTCGATTCGACACTTTGGAATGTATTTGAGGACATGGGACCCCACTTTCTTGTTTTGGGGTGATGGCCTTGCTTGTATTTTTCTTCTACTTTAATAATTTAACAAGAGATTTATCTGTAGGCAAAGCAATAAACAATTAAAAAAATAAAAAAATAAAAAATTTACCTCAAGTGGGTCAAATAGATCTACGCGGTTGACTTAACCCATTTAAATAAGAGAATAGGAATCGTTAAGCAAGTATGGGCAAAGTCAACTTAACCTTAATTTAAAGTAAAACCCATGATAAGCAGGATAAAGCACTGTTGTTCTCCATCTTATTTTCCTACCTACTTTATTTTATCACCTAATCAAATTTGAAAGAAAAAGAATATTATTTTTCCACCCATGATTATTCCCATGCTACTCTCACAAATAATTCAATCATGCTTTTACTTCCCATCCCATACTTATCCCACCTAGCTGCCTATCTTTTTTGTTCAATCACTATTTAAAATTGGGGAATTGATGACCCGACTTAGATTGGATTGAAGTAAAAGCCAATTGTTATGAGTCACACTCTCTATGTGGGACTTGTGAGACACATATATATTGTACTGTTGGCCGATTTAAGAAGTCTAGTCTCAACACACCAACACACCAAACAACGGCCACAACTCTTGTTCATTTTAATTGAAATAATGAGTGTTGCTATTTCCACCTCCTATTCTATATCCTTAAAATTTTAAAGACAAATTTACCCATTTGTAAAATGACTTCTAAGGACTTAGGGAAAAAAACCTCAACTCACAAATGGACTAATAATGTTATGACAACTGGAGCAATATGTCATTAATAAATATTTTTATTTTTTGTTGTTGAACTAAGGAAAATAAAAACCCAACAAATGATTTCCCCTCTAAGGTTAATACAAGTATAATTGTACTCAAAGAGAAAAAAGTAAAGGAATTTATAGGTGGATTTTCAGTTAAAATGATACATATGGTTGGTTTCTAAAAATTTCTCAATCGACAATATGGTAGGTGAAAAGATAAGATTAGTGGAGAAATAAAACAAAGATAAAAATAGTTCAAAAAATTTCTCAATCGACAATATGGTAGGTGAAAAGATAAGATTAGTGGAGAAATAAAACAAAGATAGAAATAGCAGCACTCGAAATAATTCAGTTTGACCCACCAATTGCGAAATTGGCATGCAAGTTCTTTCCTATTTTGTCCCACTAAAAAACATAAACTATGAATCAAGGGAGATATTATGGGAATCAAATCCATAGCTGAGGGAGATGTTTTATTATTTCAACAGAAGATATCAGCAAAAAAATAGGACTAGTGATATGGGAAAAATGACCCTTAAACTTAAAGTCCTTGGTCAACTGCCCTTTGGACATTCTTGTTCAATAATAAAGGAATCTGGGCCCCATATTAGAGATGCTAATTCCATGTCCTTGCCCTATAAGCAAATACAACGTTTAAATGTGCATATATATATATATATATTAGGTCGAATTTCTATACATATGATAATATGACGCTGGACAGGCAAATTATCATTTTTTTTTCTTCACTCGTTTCAATTTCCAAGCTCTCGCCCATGTCGCTTCTTGTTATTTTGATATAAAAAATTGTACAAGATGAAATTGGGAGAAGAAAATACTGAAAATTATAGACATTAGAAAAATAAAGGGAGATTCACTATGATATCCAAAATAGGGGCCCAAGTTATAAAAAAACACTATATAAAATAAACTTTAGAAATATACATAAAGCCCATTTATAACATAACAAAGAGGCTTTTAACTTCTGTAGGGGCTTTTTTTCTTCCGGCAGCTACTACGGGCCTGACTGCCGTAAAGGGCAAAATGGAAGAAATTGCCCCTTGAGCCTGAGTTCGAAAATTAAGCCCCAAAATACCTCGAAAAGGCAGTAGAGCCTTAGGAAGTATTTTGGTTATCTTCACCAACCAAAATAATGGCAGCTTACAGGTAATTTCTTCATGCTTACAGATAAACTTTTGAGTTTGGCATGAGGGGCTTGTGGCATGGGAGCAAAATTAGCATGAGTTGAGCACCAAAAAGGAAATATGGCTTCCTAAGAAGAAAAGGGAGTGTTTAAGGTGAGGAAGAAAGAGGTTTTCAAGCATATGTGGCTAGGAAGAGAAAAGGGAAGAACTATGTTCTTCTGGCAGCTTGTCAGAAGAAGAAAATGGAGGAAGATGAACAGTGCACGAAATTGCTGGTTTTTGCAAGTATGAGAGGAAGCTTGCTCTCTAGTTGTGGATGATCTTTGTTGGGTAGAAGAGGCCCTAATTTATAGCCGCTGGAAGCTGATATTTTCCAAGAAAACCTAATGGCTTCTACCCATTTTGGCTAAGCTTTTCCTTCCTTTCTCCCTTCATCTCTTCAATCATCCTTTTTTGGTGAAATCCACTCTACCTATTTGCATAAAATCAGGGATTTTTGGGAGCTCAAAGCCCCCTTTCCTGCGGCTGTTTCAGACTTCTATTTTCAGTCATCTTTCTTCCTTCTTTTCTCTCTTTTTCCAAGGCTAGATCTGATGAGGGAAGGAATGGGTATGCATGCTGGTTCAAATGGTGATCTGCGCTCCAATATCCCTTGGTCATTTGGAAGTTTTTGCTTGAAACTTGTTTCTCCCATGTGTTGGAGCTTTCCAGCAGCTTTCACACATGGATATTTTGGCTTTCAACGTGGCTTTTGTTTTCAGCTATGTGCTGAAGATTTGCAGATATTTTTTTTTGGGTTGCTTGGGCCTTCTATGACAATAAGTTGGTTTATCAAGTACATGGGCTAACTTCATCAAGTATTGGGCTAGTTTGGTTGAAGTGATGGGCTATTTTGGTTGGAGTAATGGGCTATTTTGGTTGGGCTATTTTCTCTTTTGTGCTCACCCACATGTTTGGGCCTAAGAAATGGGTTTGGGTTCCGAGGCTCCCAAGTAACCCGGAACCTCCACTTCTTGGTCCATCAATGGGCCTCATGACAATTTATTACCATCCATACCACAACCCACTCAAGCAAGCCCCGGGTATTTTAGTGGCTTGGGGTCCACTTAAGCTTGTGGCGTGATTAGGTGCGGAATGATAATTCCTTGCTTAGCGTGGCGTGTCGTTTGGCGTGGCATGTGTGCAAGCGCATATGATGAACTTTCGCATGCCCAAATCGGGTTTCTTCTTGGTAAAGCATCGCATTGGGCCGATAATTTATTTTGGCCGAACCGTGAATATTTTGGGCCTCAACAACTTCTTATAAATTACAAAATTGCCATCGATTTCTTAAAACAAGCCAAACCCCAAAACCTCATTAAAAAAAAAAACTCAATAGGACATCAAAGTAATTTAATAATCAAAATTAAATTCAATAGGATCCGCTGTTATTTTTGGGGTTTGTTTATAAAAATTAAATGGTGTAGGGTTTATTTATATCATTAGTGCTAAGAATGAGTATATGACTAAATATCTCTAAAATAAACTGCTGAAAATTAATAAAATAATGAAAATTAATATTGTATAAAGAAATATTATTTAACTATGCTTTTCGAGGGCACATAAAAGGAAATATTCAAGCCCAAAATATACTTTCATATTATTATAAAGAAATATATAATGGTACAATGCTTCTGAAAATATATATATGGATGATGCAGCTGGGTTAGTCCAAAATGGCGAACTATCTTAATCATAGCTCTCTCTCTCTCTCTCTCTCATCAATAAATATTGTACATTTCGATTTAGAAAACCAAGAGAAATATAACTCTTGTAGTATACTTCTCAAAGATATCGGTGATCCGAATAGGATGGTCCAAAATCGTAGCTCGCTCTTGGAAAGGAAGGAAAAAAAAAAAAAAAAAATTCAAGCGCAAAAAAAAAGAAAAAAGAAAGTGTTTTGTTTATATATTATATACTTGTTGTGAATAATACAAAAATATACAATTTTATATAGCGTGCTTCCGAAAAATATGCCTCATTAAATAGTACGGGCGGTGATTATTTACTCGTGATCAAATAGTTTTTTAAGGCAACATGCATAAATCAATATGAGTTGGTTGTGCTGCTGCTGAGTAACGTGCCTTGAAAGAGAAGCTAATTCTAGCTTCTTATGTGTCAACTCTGGAAGAGCATTTGCTTTAACAAACACAAGAAGACGTAGACAGTAGACCCTTGCAATTTGTTCTCAGAACCCCAATCAAAACGATATGAAGTACTTTTGTTTATGGGTCAATAGGATATAGTCGCTTGCAAAATTTTAAAACTATTGACAAATCCACAAATTTAGAGTTTTTATCACAAGACTATATTCTCTCGATTTATAGGGTTTTATATTTGGATTCCATCAAAAAGAGCAGATTGTCTTATTGAGTCAAATATGTGAGATTTACTTTTTGTCATAGGTGGATAGGTTGTATTTTGATGTAATATAATATAGCTTTAAAGTTGGTCACATGATCAATTGTAACGGATATTTGGATGGAATGCAATGAGAGTGACCCAACTAAAAAGTAAGCCAAAAAAAAAAAAATTAAAGACTAGATTGATTGATTTGAAAATTTGAAAACTCAAATGAAGACTTTTGACAAATTCAAAGCCCATTCATTATAAATACTCACAAATCACTACAAAATGGAATGCTTTTAGCGAGGGCACTTTGTAGTCGGTAAAGACATTTTCCCCTTGGAAATACGCTTTTGCAACGGCAAACTTCCGTCGGAAGTCGTCGATAATTGTCTGGTTGGCAATACTTCTTTTTAGACCACTCTGTCTGAAATACTTCTTTTTCGACCACCGTTAGCTGTCGATATTGATTAAATGTCTATCGGAAATGGGATTTCAAAACAACCATGTCGTTTTATTTCCAACCCATAAATGTGGTCGCAAATACTTATATGACTGTCGGAAATAGTTTTCTTGTTTTGTTGCGAATTGTTATTTTCGATCAATAATTATTGTGGGAAATAGTTTTTTCAAAAATGATATATTATTTTACGAGGACTAGATTTTTGCAATATGTGACTCTTAACTCATCACCTATTTTTGCCAATAGTAGTACTATATTTGTCAATCCAATTACCACAATTCCTTGTTATATTCTTTTTGATTTATAATATAAAATTAAATATTTTCATTCCCATTAATAAAAGTTGAGTACATTGTTCCATCGATATACCAAATGTATGTCCAAAATAGCACAATAAAATTTTCAATATCCCAAAGTAAATCTAACTCTTGTGGTGCTTCTATGTTAAGATAAGAGTTCATATTGAAGTCATTGAAGAAGTGGGCAAGGTAGAGGTCTCCACACGAGGAAAAAAAACCTGCTTCTCTAATTGTGGCGAGTCATTCAACTTGATTGACACTGCTGCTTCTCTATTGCAGCAAGACCACATGAAAGAACATCCTATTATTAAGGCTTCACCATGCATTTCTAGTGCAAAAAACATATAAGAAATAGGGTACGGAAAACAACCCAACAAATATGGTGCAGAGAGATGAGCAAGCATATATTTCAACGACTAATGAGCGGGTGATATATGTGGAAAAGGGAAATTCTTTAGATCAATTAGTTACCCTAATTAATTCCTATTTAATTAGGAAAAATTATAATTGTTTTAAGATGGGAAGATCTCCCTAAATCAAGGATGAGATTTCCACAAAATCTCCTTGATTAATTCCAATCTTCTATTTTTGGGTAAGAATAATCCTAATTAAATAAGGATTATTCTTCAAACCCTAGCCTACAAGGAGCACTATAAATACATGGTTACATGAGGCATTCAAGGTAATTCTAAAAACCATAACAACTCTCTCCCTTGCTGCCACTCTCTCTCTCTCTCTCTCCTTTCTCCTCGCGGCTCCAGCCACCACCACACACGGCTCCAACCACCCGGCTCTCCCCGTGAGAGAAAACTCAAACCACTTTAGGTATTGTTGTATCTTTTTCAAAGTTCAATCAAACTAACTTTGGTATCAGAGGGCCTTTGGCCAACGCCCCCCCAGGTGTGGTTTATTTCGCAGGGATTGAGAGAAGAAAAAGAAGTTTGAGGGTCAAAGAATCCAAGTGAACTCCTCACCATTCACCGCTGAGATTGAGCAAACGGCTCCATTGAAGCGATTCTCAACACTTTCTTTCACATATTTCAAAGGGGATTCTGATCCTGAGAGCCATTTGAAGCACTTCAAAAGTGTCATGATTCTCTACAAGGTTGAGGATGTGCTGATGTGCAAGGTATTTGTAATGACTTTACGAGGAGCAGCTTAGGATTGGTAAAATACCATGCCATACAGGTCGATTAGCTACTTCAAAGAGCTGGCTTTCATCGTCACAAAGGAGTACACTTCCTACGAGATGATCAAGAAACAAGTCGACCACCTGTTCAACCTGTGCAAGAAGCATAATGAGTCCCTCCCTGACTACATCAAAAGATTTAAGGTGGAAAGCCAACATTGTGGGATGTGATGATCGAATTGCATCCTCTGCTTTCAAGAAGGGCTTACCAGTTGAGCACGACCTGTATAGCAAGATGACTATCACTCATAGCCAGACTTTGGCAAAGGTCTTCGTGACTGTGGAACGATGGAGCTCTATGTCTACTCTCCACAGGTTTTCAATGCGTAGACATTCATGATCATCGACGAGGTCTCCCCATAAAATGGTATCCTGGGCAGACCATGGATTGGCAAGATCAATGCCATCACTTCCACCACGCACCAGAAAATCTGCTACCTAATCCTTAGAAGCGATGTTAGGCAGATTAACAAAGATCAAGCGATGGCTAGAAGATGCTTAGCTAAAGGGTTGAAGAAAAGCAGACATACCTAGTTCAGCTCGTGCCTAAGCTCAGAAGAGAAAATAGAGTTGACCGTGTTCCTTTAAAACAACAAGGACGTGTTCACGTGGTCACCATCTGACATGCCGGGTAACGATCCGCGGATCATTTGCCATCGCCTTCATGTCAACCCATCAAGTAGACCAGTGGTGCATAAAAGATGAAACTTCACTAGCTCGCGAGTTGCCATCGTTGAAGCCGAGATTGACAAGCTCTTAGCTGTCGGCTTCATTGAAGAAGTCTTATACTTGGAGTGGTTGACCAACTTTATTCTGGGGGCAAAGAAAGACCAAGGGAAGTGGAGAGTGTACGTGGACTACACTGACCTTAACAAGGCATGCTCGGAGGAAAACTTTCCACTGCAAAGAATTGATTAGCTCATTAATTCAACTTTCGGTAACCAACTGCTAAGCTTTATGGATGCACACTCCGACTACAATCAAATCATGATGCATGATGACGATAAAGCGAAGACTTCTTTCATAATGGAAAGAGACATATATTGCTACAAAGTCATGCCCTTTGGGTTGAAGAACGCATGAGCAACGTACCAGAGGCAAGTGAACACGATTTTCAAGGAGCAGATTGGCAAGACTATAGAGGTTTACGCAGATGACATGCTAGTCAAAACTCCCCAACTAGTGGATCACATCAAGAATCTTGCCTAAACCTTCAGCTTGCTCTGAAAGTACCATATGAAGTTGAACCCGAGCAAGTGCACGTTTGGCTCTCATCTGGCTAATTTGTGGTATACTTAGTCACCCAAAGAGGTATTGAAGCACATCTGAATTAAATCTATGCCATCCTCAACATGAAGTCACTTGCCACAATGAAAGAGATACAAAGTTTGATCGGCAGAGCAACAACTCTAAACCAATTCCTTTCAATATCCATCGACAAGTGCACGCCATTCTTCAAAGCCTTAAAAGAAGGACAAAGAGACAAGTGGGAGGAATATTGTGAAGTAGCTTTTCAAAACTTGAAGACCTACCTCACTTTACCTCTCTACTCTCAAAACCCGTACCAGATGAAGATTTGTTCATCTACCAGGCGATGTCTAACTCAACAATCAGCTCAGCTCTTGTTCGAGAAAAGCTGGGGGTACAACATTCGTTATTTTACACGTGAAAAGCCCTTATCGATGCAAAGACTCGCGATTAAAAATCAAGAGGTTCATTTTGTCCATTGTAGTTTCCTTGTGAAAGTAAAGATCATACTACCGAGCTCACCAAATTATCGTTATGACAGAATTTCCTTTGAGATAAATTCTTCATAGTCTCGGCAATTTTCAGCGACTCATAAAGTGAACTATCGAATTGAGTCACTATGACCTCCCCTACATACTGAAAATTGCCATGAAAGCCCAAGCTTTAGCAGAATTCGTTGCAAAGTTCACTACTGGCCGAAGAAGTGAAACTGGTCAACGGATTCAAGGAAAGTTCGAGAGAATACGAGACCTCCTCTGCCAAGGGAGAAGTCGGTGGCTAAAAAAATCAAGCAGAAAGCTGCAAGATACTACATGAAGGACAATAAGCTTGTTCGAAGATCGTATTTTGGTCCTCATCTCTCATACATCAAGTACTAGCAAACTCTCGAAGTGCTCTGCACAATCCACGATGGTGAATGTGGAAATCACACTGGGGGGTAGGTCACTAGCCTAGAAGGCTCTCAACATAGGCTACTTCTGGTCTACCATGCACTACGACTTTACGGAGTATATTAAAAGATGCGATCGATGCTAATGCTACAAGCTGGTCTCAAGTCTGCCTGCCAAAGTGTATCATCCGTAGTACAGCCCATTACTATCTACTTTGTGGCTCCCATGCCTCCCACACCCGCCAAGAAGGACATGATGATAGTCGTCATCGATTACTTTACTAAATGGATGGAGGCTGAAGCTGTATTCTCTAGTAAAGAAGCCGATGTGGAATAATTCATCAAGAGAAACACCAACTACCGGTTCAGCTACTTGATGAGTCAATTTTATATTATATATTTAACCCTATTCTTAGTATATTTTGGTTAATATTTTGGAAGAATTTTGATACTTTGAATTATATTTCCAATATAGGTCTTTTGACTCTCTCTGGAGCAAAACATAATCAAATGGACGAATTTTGGAGTAATTCCAGTTGGAGGACGTACGTGAGTCACTTAGCTTGATCATATCAAAATATTAGACTTTTCCACTAAGCGATGATTTCCTGGTGAATAAATGAAGGAGCAATGTGCAGTGCTGGAATAGTGACGTTTTGGGCTTATATTGCGTTTTTGGAGCCCAAGATGACTTCAGATGGGTTTGAGGCCTTCTGGAGAAGTGTTCGGAATATTTTTATCTTTAAAATGAACTATCTTGGGCCAGATTTGGAGGAGATTTGAGACCAAAACGTGGCTGGGCAGATTGTGGGCAGATTCTCCTAATCCAATTTGGACTTTATTTCCTAGTCTTATTTTATTTTAACTTAGTTTCCTTGTGGGGATTGGGTAGCTAGGTTTGAGGAGGTATTTAAACTCTTTTTCACAGAATTTAGGGGATCTCATTTTAGAACTTCTTTTTGGCTTTGGGAGCAATTGCTAGGGTTTTGGATTTTCGCTACTTTCAGGTGTTTTCACTACTCATTGATAACGGATCGCAATACATTTAAAGCAGTTGACTAAGTTCACTCCGCTTCAGTTCAAAGAAAGTTTGAGTTTTTCAAAACAAATGTTTGAGAGGAGATCCGAAGCGTCTTTAGGAAATCACATGAAGATGTCTAAAGCATCCTAAGGGAGACGCAAGATATCTACCAAAACATCCTAAAGGGGACGTAGGCAACTTCCAAAACTTCCTAGAGAGACATAGACAATTACCCAGACGTCCTAAGGGAGATGTAAGCCAATTGCCAAAACATCCTAAGGGAGGCATATGCAACTGCGAAAATGTCCTAAGGTAGACGTAGGCTAATTGTCTAAACATCATAAGCGAGATGTAGGCAACTGCCAAAATGTCCTAAGGAAGACGTAGGCCATCTGCCAAAATTTCCTAAGAAAGATGTAGACAACTGTCCAAAACATCCTAAGGGAGACATAGGACATCTCTGAAAACATCCTAAGGGAGACATAGGCAACCGCTAAGATGTTCTAAGGGTGACGTAGGCCACCTGCCAAACTATCCTAAGGGAGACACATGCCATATCTGAAGCATCCTAAGGAAGAACCAGAAGAGCACTATTCAAGTAAGCTGTAGATAAACATTCAAGCATTCTAAAGGAGATGCACAACCAAGGCACTAGCGGGTCACTGAAGCAGTTCACAAGACTCAACAAAATTTTTGGTTTAGATAACTAAAATTTCGGTTACAAAGTGACCAATTGGACAACATTCAACAAAAAGAAGATGGTCAACCAAGACCATTACTTAAAGCTACAAAGCCACAAAGAAGATAAAGTCTTCATCTACTTTGAGACTTTAGCGAAAGACTACCCCATATTGACGTCATCCTTAGCTCCAATCTCATCAGTCACATTTCTCTTTGACTCCGGTCTCATCGACTACTTGCTTCTAGGTCGTATATGTGTTTGGGACTCCTTTCTGAAGCAGAGCAAGAGCTTCATTTTTCTTATCTTCTGGAGAAAGGCTTGGAAAGGTGCCAATATCGCCAACCTATGGCAAATGATCTACCAGCCCAGCATAAGCATATGAGCTTCCCAAAAAGTCACCATTGAGTAGATCAGGCACACGCACATCCCCAGCATGACTAGATTGGGCATTCCTTGTAAATCATCATGATCTTTATCTCGAGTAGATGACTCTTTTGCCGCCTGCACTGCAGCCATTCTTGCTTTGAAAGGAGTCAACAATGTTGGACTAGCTCCACCATTGGTCTTTCGTATTTCAGCAGATCGTGCACGCTTGCCAAGCAAAGAAGCAGCCTTCTTAGTTTGATCCTCTTCCTTAAATTGGTGCAGATGACTCGAGCCTTAATAAGAAAGGTCAATAGTTCTTTGCTTTCCAGCAGAAGAACCAGGTCTTGCACCAACATTTTTGTAGGGAAGATCACCAGTCTTTGACTTATGAACAAAAGACTTGGGCATGGCATCCCTGATATCTCGCATGTCATGTGCCTTCTAGCTATCAGCACCCATGAGGTGCTTGACCCTGGCACACGACGAAGGAGCAGCATGCACTAGAGTCCTCTTAGCAGACGAGACCCCTTTCGAAGAGACTTGATCACAACAGAAGGAAATGTCAAATTCTTTCTTAACAGAGGCATATCCTCTAGCTCGTGAGGTCACAAATTTATCTTTGGAAAGCTTGGAAGCAGCCTTTAGGAGTTTGATCGAGGACTCCTCCTGTTCATTAGGTAGATCATCTGAGTCAGGACCATGCAGTTTCCACCTCTTAACATTCTCTACTAGGGGTAGAGTACCTATTCTCCCTCAGTACTTGCTCAACAACCAACACCATTGACGAAACCTGGCAGGGATGTTCATGGCTTGACGAACCTTAGCCTTGTCTGGATCGAGATCAAGCTTTTCATTGATTTCCTTCTCTACAAGCAGAAGACATTAGTCAATTAGCTACCGTTGTCACTCTAAACATCCGGGGACGGTTATGGCAACAACTAACCGGCTGGCCATGGTTTCCCAAACCGACCAGCTTGTCCTCCTCATGAAGAACAAATTGAAGAAAAATAAAAAAACCAAGTGTGACCTACCTTGGTGTGTATGACAACTCCTCTGCAACAACCCGACCCAATTTTAATTATTCATTTAAATCATTTACTTTATTAAATTATGAAATTATAATTTTGCCCTTGGGATATGGTCATTTTCGTCACTTTTTAATATGGTAGGATTTTGGGGAAATAAATGGCACCATTGCGTAGAGCACGTGAATACGAGTTTGCGGTCACGTAGTGGGCTCAAATCGGAGTTTTAACGAAGAAGTTATGGTCAACGTGTTCACCCGTTTTGTGTTTGCTCTTGTGATAGATGGTTAAAGTTTCCCATTGCTTTGAAGACCATTGACTGGTCAGCAAGTCAACTTTCCTTAGTGTGCGAGCGTGCCACTGCTAGCAATAAAAATCATAGCAGACTTCTTAAAAATAGATAACTTGCGCCCCAAGTTACTGATTTCTAAACAAGCGATTGTGAATTTGGGTGAGGAATATCTCCCAAGTAAGTTCTTTTCATGCCTCAGACTGGTGAGGACTTCATAATTTTTCATAGTACAATGTTAGTAGTTTTGGCTAGAATAGATAATAAGAAAATGAACTATTTTTAGGCGGAACTGGCTTTTACAAAACTCTACAATAAAAAATCAACTCTAGAAAGACAAAAATGAGGCTGGAATTCCATTTCTGCCTGGACAGAAGCTTCTGATCCGGGCTGGACTGAGTATGTCTGTGCTGGATTGGACTATTCCCAACTCTAACTAGTGAGCTTCGGCTGTAAATCGATACCAAAGTTTGAGTTTAGCAGAGCTTTAATCTATTTTGAGCCATGCGAGGCTTTTTGAATGGGCAGAATTGCGACATCTTCAATCTGAAAGGGGCAGAAGTGGCTGGACTTGTGGATTACTGAGTTGGAACTGCATTGTGGTACCTGTTTTGCTTGATCAGTGCTCCCCATAAATTTGTTAAGGTTTTCATGTTTGTAAAAACTCAAACTCTGCTTGTTTTGGTTTTTTGCTAAACCAAATTTGTAACGAGAGAAATCTCGTTTTGAATGACTTATTTCTCTTAAGTCTGAATTGGAAGTTCTGATTTATGGCTGGCTTCTTCTGGGCTTGAATGAGTTTTTGGTTGCTTCAGTTTGTTTGAAGTTTCGCAATCACGACCCTGTATTTTCTTTGAAAGGAAACCTAACCCATCTTTACTTCCAACTGCCCCTGTAAGAGTTAAATATGTGATGGTTAGTTTGATTTTCCAATTTGAACAACTCCCTGTTTCCTGCTTATCTTTTTACAAAACAAAGTTTGCGTATCCCTTGAAAGATGGTGCCTTCTTTGGAGTGGAAACAATATCTTTGAATATATAAAAGGGATTTTGATCTTCTGGTGGCAGAGATATCCCTTCTTTTTGCCTGCCCTTTGTCAACTCTTTATCATCCCAGTTAAAAATATTAACTTTTTCAAAGTTCTTTTAGCCAGTCACGTGGATTTGCCTCTGATTTTTTGGGCTTCTCTCTTTAATCACGCCAAGCCCAATTTTGGGTTTCTTTGAAGCCTAAGTCATTTCTTGTTTTTCGGTAGGTTCTGGGCTGGGCTTTCTTTGATTTGGGCTCTTGATTCCGATTTTAGTCCATATTGTCTGGGTCTGATTTTGCCTCGTCCTTCTGGGCCTTTAGTGTTGGGCTGAGTGCGTAATCTTTGGCCCAATTTATAAGGGAACGTTGGTGGCTGTCAAAAATTATCATGAGCTTTTGTTCTCTTAGGCTGGGTGTGCCAAATTAGGTCCAAACACAACGGATGTACAGTGGCACAATCATAAATATTTCAAAGTTGGGTTTTTAAAAACACTAGATTCTTCTTTCTTTCTCTCTCTCTCTCTCTCTCTCTCTCTCTCTCTCTCTCTCTCTCTCTCTCCCTCTTAGTTTTGCATAGCCAGCGACTTTGAATGGCTGTAACTTCCACCTTCGACCACCAATTTTGACAGGGCCAGTACCAAAATGACTGGCTAGCTTCTCTCTTCCCACGCCACCCCTTCCCTACCGCAACTAGCCGGGTTTTTACCCAAACTTTTCGGCGTCGTTTCCGAAGATTTTGGCCTCCATTTTTGTGGTTTTTCTTGTGTGGTTTTTACCCATGTATTCTTTCTCATCCTTTCAACATGATCTAGTTTATGGTTGGGTTGATTAGGACTGATTTTGAAGTTTTGGAACTCATTTTACGATCCAAAGTTTTAGCCGATTTTCAGCTCAAAATTCTAGAAAGTTCCTGCCACTTTTAGGCCGTGGCCCAAGAACAAAAGTTGGTCCACTCATTGTCTTGATCACGTTGATATAGGTATTGTTGGGTGTTTTGAGAATTTTCCTGTTGTCCGAATTTTCTCAAGCCACCCACGTGCTGCTGGCGAGTGTGGTTGCGCTTGGGCCATGTTTGGGTGGTCCATTTGGTTCTAAAATATTCCCCCATGTCATCCCGAGCATTATGTTATGCTTGGATTTGAAATTGGTTACGTTTGATTGTCGATTGGATTTACGCATATTAGGCGTTTTCAAGATGGATATGTTCGGACTGTTGGATCGACTCCATTTCCAAATTTGTTGATCTAGTACCTCTAGGATCGTGTAGGGACTCACGGATCGAGAATCGGAGTCCCAGATACTCTGTATCAATGATTCGAAGATTACGTAAAACGGTGACCGTACGATTGTGCGATCTCCAGCGATTCGACTGCTCGATCGAGGCCAAACTTTCAAGACGTGTTCAATAGACTTGGTTGGACCAAAAATGGAAAGTTTGACCAAACCTTTGACCATGGGTCTTTTTTGACCGTCCCGTCTTTTGGAAAGTACTAGAATAGCCTTTGGACCTTTCTAAGGTGGAGGGTCCACGTTAAGTTCTTGGGACTAGGGTTTGATTTTAAATGTGCAGTTAAAGCCGTAAAACGAGTTTTGGTAGTGTTTGGACATTGTTTTAGTGTGCGTTGCTCTCTGGACATTTGAAAGGTATACTTATAGTGCTTTAATTTTGAGATTTATAATATTGTTAATTGTAGTTTTGGCTATTATATTGATATATATGAAGCTATGGGGATGGTGTGAATTGATGCATGATTTGATATTGAATGATGATAATTCCTGAGGGAATCTGGAATTCAATTATGATGGGGAAAACTGAATCAGCTGGTATTCAATATTTTGGTTTGAGGCTATGAATGTGTAGGGTTGGTGTATATGCTTTTGAGAGTTGCTGTCTATACTACGAATGTTTTGAGTTATGGAAGATATGATTATGGGATTTCCAGTTATTACTGTTGTTAGTATTATTATTATTATCATTGTAGTTATCATTAATATTAGTATTATCACTTTTTTTTTATGATTGTTATTATAATTCACTCATGGCTTGATATAGGGGTTTGGTATCAGTAAGGATCTAATTAAATGTCGATTACAGGTTTACACTCAAACTATGTGTTTGAGTTGTGGGTACATTGGATATCGATGCGGGTTTTAAAAAGGGTGTCTCGGAAAGTGAATAATAAGGGCTATGAATTCTGGTTTGCTGATTGGTATGTTATTTGTATGTAGAAATTGAGTTGAGAATGAATGTTGAAAGTTATGGATTTTGGTTTTGGTGCATTAGTTTATGTGGTTATCGGACTTTGAATTGCAATATATTTGAGAATGTCAGAATTAGTATGTATATCGTGATGGGCTATGGTTTTGGGAAATTTAAATATGGTGTTTTGGATTTTATTATCTTGGCTTGTGGGATTTTCAGAGACTGTCTATTTCCTAAGTATATGAATAGTGATTTGAATATTAATTAAATCGAATGGGCTTGTTTAATCTCGATGTTTTTCTTAATGATGGTTTTAATATGGTTTTCAAAAAGTAAGTATGAGTATTTTTATTATTATATATATATATTTTTTGTTATATGGAAACAATTTGTTTTGGCAATTGGATTTTGAGAGTATTATCTTTATTATATATTAGTTTATGAAAGTGGATTTTGGATCTTGGCGATGACACGCCATCTCATGTACCCCCTCTTGGATACTGATACTGGTATTGATGGATATTGGATACTTGTTAATTGTGGTTGTGGGTTGGATATGGTCGGAACCTGGGCACCTTTGGCGGAGTGTTTCATGGACCCTTAGCTGAGTAGTCTGCGTGCGTAGGACTTGTCACAGGTTCACGAGTATTAAGGATTCTGCTGTGCGTGTTGGGAGCCCAGTTGACAGGACCCGTCCTAAGTTCCACTTTGGAATCTGTATCGAACCCTATGCGTGTCATACACCTAGCAGGTGTTAGGTATAAATGTCCATAATACCCTTCTTGCTCTAAATCGCAAAACTAAAAGACACACTTAAGGGTTTAACTTTTGCTGGAAAATCGACAAAATTTCCCCTGAAAAACGGACATTTCCCAATAAATTTTCCACCTGTAAAAATATATAGTTAAAAGTGAAATTCAAATCTCAATCGTTTAGCATGCATTAGACAAAAACTTTAAATAGTTTTAGACCTCTTTATACCAAATAAATCATTATGCCATCTGAATTTGGTCTAAACTCTTTGAGCAACATGAATACGTTACCAAGTTCCAATACAACTTAACTGAACAAATTTTCAATACTTGATCTTGTGGCTGCACCTAGTAACTCTAGGTTATCTACGTACCCTTACAAAGGAATCAAGCCATACGTAGTTCTTTCACTTTTCACATTTGCACTTGTATAACTTCATAAATTGTTATTTTTCCATGTAATTTGCAAATCAATCCACTGAA